TTTGGGACCATGTTTTTCATTATACGCATATTTTTCTATCTTAATTTATACACAGCGTAACAATTTCCTTTCTCAAATATTAAAGTTTTGTGATAAGGCTTCCAGCTTCCCATAGATAATGACAGATACCTAAATTACCAAATCCTCATGGACCCCGATATAAACCTTTGAGATTTAATAAAGGAGGAGTCAAATAAAAGTACCCATAAACCACGCCTATGGAGTAACTAGAGAAAGACAACTTACAGACTTTTATTTACACGTAGGTGGGGGATTTGCTAATACCAGCAAAACTGGCTCAGAAGAGCACACTGCAATAGAGAGTCAAGGTGAAACTAAATGAAGAAAAGAGGAGTACAGAAGTCTCCCTGGAGTGAGGGAACACTTATTAAACAGAGTTCACCTTCAGCAGAAGAGGGCCTCACACTGAGTATGAAATCTCAAGATCAGATCTGTAACATGAGCACCAGTTCCGGGAGAGACAATAGAAGGGGCTTAAAAAGTGCACAAGACCCGGATGCCCGAGTCACTTACAATGGACAGTCAAGCAGGTTGGCATCAGACTGCTTGTCAGCAACAGTTGATGTAAGAAAAGAATGAAACAATATCTACCAGAGTCAGAAGGCATAGAATATGGACCAAATACTATGTCATATCTACCTAGGCTCTCCTTCAAATGTCAAAGTGATACAAAAACATGTTAAACACGAGAGAACTCTGAAAATATTTTACCCCCACACGTTTCCCAAAGGGGATATACTTCATCTAAGAAGCTGTGTTTGGGGAATCTCTGACAAAACGACAGTCATGAATACATTTCACTAGAAATTTGAGGCCAAAAGAAATGTAAGAAGTATATACACATTACCTACTTGACAAGCTAGAAATACCATATCCCAACAAAATGGGAGGCAGAGGAGAAGAAAATAGACAAGCTCACTGAGGGCCTTCCTGGTAACAGATGAGAGTCAAGTGATGTTGTTTTAAACTGACACACTGAATGGCAGGAGACTAAGGATACTCAGGAGCACAAAGATGAGCCTTAAGAAATAGAATATTTTTGATGAAAACTGGATGGTGGGAAGAAGAAGAAAAGGATTATAAGCTATTACGTTGGTGCAAAAGTAATTGCGGTTTTTGCCATAATAATTTTATTTTTGCTCAAAGTAGGGAACCAAAATATACTGACTGAGGAAAAGAGGAAAGAGTTAAGGAGAATATATAACATTTTCTTATAAAGATAACTATTGGAAAACAATATAAATTTTCCCAAATACCAAAAAATCACCAAAACCAGAATAAAACCACAACAAAAACCAGTTTTTAAAAGGGCAAAGAAAAGATAACATAATGAAATACTTCAAGAGAGTATATTTAACAAAGAATATGTTAGTACCAAGAAAACAAACATATCAATTGCGTCAATAAATGTAAATACCTATTGTAGTTATAATCATTTAAAGTATGAGTTTTATTTTCTTATAAGCAATAAAGAAAAGCTTCACACTGCATAAAAACCGCACACTGTATAAAAAAGACACAACCAAAACAAAGGGAAATGACTAAAAGATGACTTTAAAATACAGCAAGGAAATGGAAAAAAGAAAAGACTCAAGTGTCATGATTTAAGATACAGTAGAATTTAGGTGGAACATTAGTAAACAAAAAATAAGATACTTTGTAATGCTAAATGCTAATTTATACTAATAACGTAAGATATGTGGCTATCTATGAAATAAACAAGAGCAGCAATATTCATAAAACAGAAATTGCAAGAGATAGAATGACAAATACCAAGAAATATTCTAACAGTAGAAGACTTTAATACACTTTCTTAAATCCAAGACATATCTGGAGGACAGGAAATAAGTAAGGATATAGAAGACAGCATAATAATAAGGCAGAGTTTTATAAAGTAGATATCAACTTTTGTAGCTTGATATTCTGCAATATCACTTTCTTTTCATATTCACGTGACATAATCATGAAAATTGATCAAATAATAAACAACGGGCAAATTTTAGACAATTACAAAAAGAGAAATAATACAAACAGGATTTTATGACTGTAAGACAATGAAACCAGAAGTTTTTAACAAAAAATAATACTTTAAAAATACTTTTCCGACTGGAAAACTAAAAACTATCTATATTAAACAACTCAAGTTAAAACCTAGGAAAACAAAAGTTGCATTTTTTCTAGGAAAAATAATATTACATTTCTAAATTTGTGGAGTATAGCTTACACAGTCTTAGATAAAAATATATAGCCTAAAATCATATGCCAAAAACTGACAGAGTGAAAATAAATCAATGTAATAAAAAAGAGGCAACAAAGTAAGCTGATAAAAACTGATTTAAGAAACATAAAAGCAAAATTTTGTGAGTTTGAAAACTAATAGAATTTAAAAACCAATAAAAAATTAGGTCTTTGGGGAAAAAGCTACTGACTAATCAATTTTAAATGGAAGAAACAATAATAAAATAAATGAGAAATTTCAAGAAAAAAAAACTATAGGAACAGAGGATTTTAAAAAATCATAAAATACTACCTTGCATAATTCTATTAAAACAAAATTTACATATTTACATGAAGTAATTTCTAGGGAAATAATGTCTAGCAAAACTGAACCTAGTTAAGATTGATAATTTGAGTAGACCATTATTAAAGAAGAAAAATAAATTTGTCAAGGAGCTACTTCACAAACAAGTACCACAAATAAGTACCTCAATGACTTTACAGGGGAGTCACACCGAACTTTTAAAGTCTAGATAATCCTTAAACTATTTAAATGCTTCAATAGCATGCAAAAAGGGGAAGAAACTCGCAATTATTTTTTGAAGGAATTATAATATTGATACCAACACCTTAGAAAATTGCACATATGCAGGCAAAAATTATAGATCACTCTCCCTATTGGATATTGACACAAATTGAAAAATTGAGTTAAGAAAACCCAACAATGTATTACAAAATGAAATATAACATGTCCAAATGTGACTTCTTCCAGGGATGCAAGAATGGTTTATATCAGTAACTTCATTTATAAAATGTATTAAAAAATAAGGAAAAAAATAATACACTCATTTCCACAGAGGCTAAAAAAGGCATTATACAAATTTCAGCACCCATTCTTAAAAAATTTAAGTCAGTGGAAACTTTCTTAAAATAATAAAGCACACACAACTCAATTCACATGTCATTATTTCAATTAATGAGGAATGTTTGAATTAAAGGCATTCGCACAACAACCAGAGCCAGGCGTAGTGTTCACTGTTGATTTCTTTTTAATGATACCTTGGAGGTAATAGCCAGCACATTTTAACAAGAGAAAACTATGGGATGTACAAGAATTGGAAAGGAAATATAAAACAATTTATATTTTATGTGATAGAATATTTGAAAAATTCATAAAAGTCAAAGTATAAGTCACTGTAAAGTAAGAATTAACTAAGATAGTTGGATGTAAATTTAATGTATTCAGAAAGAAAAGTTACTTTTATAAGAAAATACAATGGGGAAAAAAAGTCCCATTTTTAATAGCAGCAACAACAAAAGTTAAATGCCAAAGAGCAAAGTAAACAAGTGAGGAAAATTTTAAGAAATTCCTGAAACACACAAAAATTAGACTTAGAAAATAAAAATACGTACTATATATTTTTGAATAGAATGACAATATTACAGAGACATCAGTTATCTTCAAGTTAACTTATACAATTAATGTGAATCCAATAAAAATATTAAATATTTCTTCTAGCTGTAGAAAATTTTTTTCTAAAGTTCACGTGGAAAATTAATCAAAAAATAACCTCAACCTTCTGAAAATTAATATCAAATAATAAGGAATCATGCTATATTAGTTATTTATTGTATATATAAACTGTATGATTCTGAGGGATAGATAAACCAACAGAACAGAATAGAAAATCCAGGAGTAGATTCAAGCACATATGGAAGTTTAGTGTATAATAAAGGTGGCATCTTTAATTACTGTTGAACAGATAGACTTTTTAATAAATAATGTTAGAACAATGAATGAGCCATTGAGAAAAAGATAAATTAACTGTATACCCTGCACTATACACCAAAATAAGCTTACAATGCATCAGAGATCCTAAAAAATGAAATCATACAAGTTCCGGGGAAAGGAAGTGATTTATTTAGAACCTTGGAGTGGTTAAAGCTTTTCTAATTATGTCTCAAAAATTCAGATGCAACAAAGGAAAGAGTTATAAATTTAGACACATTACCAAAAATCCCTTTAAATAAAAATTATGAAAAAGATAAAAGACACACTATTTTCTAGGTAAGCTATTTGCAGCTTACTTTACAAATTGACAAGATAGAGAAAAAAACAACCAAAATGTATAAAAGAAATGAACAGTTGATAAAGAAATATCCTTTGTGCTTAAATATATGAACCTTACTCATAGAATAAATATAAACTAAAGCGAATTGAGGTGCTAGTTCTCACTTATGATGATGACAATTGTTGAGAAAACTGATTCTGACTCTCTTTGTCGGCATAGTTTTGGGGGAAAATGCTAATTCATGGCTGCTGGTAATGTAAAATGGTTTAAAGCATGTAGAGGAGAATTTGACAGTACCTGAAAAGATTATATATGCATCACCCTTGACCCAGGAACCCCACTTAAAGGACCCTGAAGATACATTTGTCCAATAATATACACATGAATATACATAAGCAGAATTTATTCTGGCATTATTTGTAATAGACAAAGTCTGAAAACAACCTAAATGTCCATCAGGTGTCAGGGGACTGGTTAAATACATTATATTATATCCAAGTTAAATGGCTTCCAGAGCAGCCAATAAATTCTGGAAGGCAAAAGGTAACATGAGCTAATGGCTTACTCATGTAAAATTATTTTACTTCAAATATAAAGATATTTTGAGAACCAAACTGATATGAAGACTGTTAAAGTGACTACAGTAGCAGAATTATCAACAGCATTGAGTACACATTGCCTTTTACTTACGGTTTACAGTTTTGATTGGTAATATTGGGTTTACCCTCTCTGGGGTGGCAGCATTTTCATCCGTCACATATTCAAAATTAATGATGAACATCATAGCCACGCCCTCTTGGTTTTTCACTGGAATTATGTGAGTGTTACAAATAAAAGTGGACCCTAAGGAGATTAAAAATGAATGTTAGTTAAAAATATGCCTTCGTTTTGAACTATCAAGTAACATTAAAATTGAAATACACTCCTAAGGAAATTTGTATCTTAAATGATCCCTGATATTAAAAAATAATTTGATCTTTTTTACTTCGTATTTTATTGCATACCATATTCATTTAAAATATATATGTTTTTCCAGAAAAACATTATAAATAAATTCAGTTACTACATTGTGGAAAAACAGAAATATCAAATTCTATTTGCTTTCACACCCATCCCTCTAATAGTTAATTTTTAAAAAGATATATTCTTTAACTTTCTAGAAATAATTCTTATCATTTTCTTATAAATTTTGATTAAATCTGAATCTCTATAAAATATAGCTGTATAAAAAATGAAAGTAACTCATGTCATCTTGATTTTAACAATTTTGTGCTTTTCTAATTTATTAGACATAAAATAGTAAATTATTGACTCTACCTTATATACAGTAATTCTTATATTATCTTATATTACAGTATATAAGATATACTTAATACTATCTTACATTACAGTAATTCTTTTCTGTGCAAAATTCACAGCGTCTAAATTGCAATGGTTTTGTCTGTTTTTTATTCTGTTAGAAAATAAGAACAAAATTTTGTCTATATTATTGCGTTAGTAATCTTCTTCATGAGATGATATTCTTCAAGATGATATTCTTCTAAAAGCAAAATTACAGGGCTAGTAAGATACATTTCATTAGAATTATCTGGAAATGAAATAAACAAAGGTATGACTCAGTTTGCAATCAACCACCACCATCCATCTTCCAACAGAAACCTACAGGTCCAAGATACAGAGCATGTATTTGAAAAGCAGACTTCTTTTAAATCAGCTGACTGCTGACTGACTCCTTGCAGCTAACTTCTAAAATTCCTCAAAGCAGTTTCGTCACACTTTTACCCTATGACTATGCTCTTTAGTCAGGGTAATGGAAATTTCACAGGCTTGAAATTTGTTTCAGTTCCAGCTATTTAAGTTACAAATAAAGTGTTTTTAAAATGCCAAAACTTCAGAAAGTGTTCTTAAGCATTTACAAGCTTGTCCAACCCGGTGGCCTGCGGGCTACATGTGACCCAGGACGGCTTTGAATGTGGTCCGACACAAAGTTGTAAACTTTCTTAAAACGTTGAGTTTATTTTATTTATTTATTTTAGCTCATCAGCTATCGTTACCATTAGTGTATTTTACGTATGGCCCAAGACAATTCTTCTTCTTCCAATGTGGCCCAGGGAAACCAAAAGATCGGAACCCCCTGATTTAGGAAATGCATCCATTTTGACTGCTGTTGTTTTTCACAACTAACTCTGCCACCTTGAATCTTGTGGAGAATGATGGTTCAATGTAGAGGCGGGGGCAGGTTGAGAGCAAGATTAGTCTGGCATGAAACATCAGAGAGAAATGTGAGCAAGTGCCAGGACCCCTGGAGGCTGGCGATAGGGGCCGGGCAAACAGCTGAAGGATGTTTTTGGGAGCCCTAACATCTGCAAAGGCCAGTAGACGCGAGTATTCCCAAATGGTGACCTATGTAAGCTCTAATAAAGTCAGCATAAGAAAACTCCTTTCTTCTTATCCTGCATCTTGGCTCCTGCTGCTAGAGCTGAGAACAAAAGCTATTATGGATATTGCTATAGATCGAGGACTTCAGAGGGAAGGGATTTTGAGGGTAAGCCTGTAGATCTAACAATTATTTGTAAAAATGTTTCTATGGGTAAATATGTTCTAATTTCCAAGGAATTGATCGACAAATATACTTTTAGAAGGACTCTTTGTAAGTTAGGAATGCCTATGTGCTCCTTATAATTCAGATGTGCTAGTTATAATACAAATGTGGACAGCTTCCCAAATTTGAAATGTGGATAACTTTATTTATAACTAATTTCATATTTTCTATAAATGTGGCAATGGCTTTACAGATGTTGGAAAATATGCCTTAGGAACGGCAAGCTGCACCTTCAGTCTTCAGCTTCTTCAGCTATGTCTCCAATTCATTTAATAAAATAGTTAGCTAGAGCACTTGTCATAGTTTCCATGGTAACAAACGGGATGACTTTAGTAAACAGAAAATAAGCAATTTAAGACTGTTCTAATAGAACTAAAAATAGAAGTGCTTCAGGCCAGGCATCACAGTACACACTGGTTAAACAGTCTGAGGAGATGCTAGAAATAGTCATTATGTACTTTCCTAATGAACCAAAATACATATTGATTTTACCATTTAAAATGACATTTCCTGGATCATTTAGAATATCATTGTGAATTCGCACATTTGTTATTTAAGCAGTTTCAAATTTTCCAACACTTGGGGTGTACCGTTGACTATAAAAAACATTAAAAAAATGCTTGAGAAATCAGGAAATAAAATATGTGGGGATAGGGATCTAATAGGTTTGTAATAGAGCAATTTTGCTTTTGGTAATATGGGACAAAATCATGTTTTTCAATACAAGTGTTTGTAAATGTACTGACTAGTCCTAAAAATCATAAAATTATAGTGCTTCGTATAAAAGTTCAGCTATCTGCATTGGCTCTAAAGCATATTAAATAAATGTAATTAATCTGGGATTTACTGCCCACTATCATTGTTTCCTGTACATTCCTATTAAGCAATATATTTCCTCTAAAGTCAACTGAAAACTCACATTCACATGCTTTTCTGTTTTAGTTTGGGGATTTAATATCTCCATCAATCTTGCATAGCCTCCTGGAAGGCAGACAATGAAAGGAGATACATGGAATTTAGAGGAAGAGAAGAATAGAATACATTTTATAGAACAAAAATATTTAGCTTGGATGATTCTACAAACTCCAACTAAGTTCTGTCAAGATACTACTTTGGTCAGGTGACATTGCCCTAAGAAGTCATCACTCTGTGCTCCTAAATATTTCTCTTGAATGTAACATTGGGAACAAGAGCAATGGAAACCTAATCCAGCAAACATTAGCCAAGCAACAACAACAACAAATAATAATAATAATAATGTGGAAATAAGACTTCTAAACAAAATTAGAAAAATTTCAGACCTTGTTAAATGAATCATATATTCAAATGAAATTAATAGTGTTTGTTAAGAACCAGATTATTTACAATAATATTGGCCATTATTTATAAAATTATACATGCAATTATACTAATATTGTTAGACTACGGTTCATATCCACATTTTCTCTCCTGAGTGAAAACATTTCCAAAGTGGAAAAGACTGTTTAGGAGGAATAGTGCTAATTTTAATAAAATTTTTAGAGTATGTGATTTTTTACTGCAGCCATAGAGCAAACAAACTCAAGGTAATCTGAATAATTATGAAAAGTATACTTTATTTTATATATTGGTGGCATACACCTAGTTGCACTTTACAATAAGATGCTGGGACTCCTCCTTTTGAATTGCTTTAAAGGTGTTTTATTGTACTGTATGTGGTTTGTGTTCACAGGGCATCTTATGTCTTTGAGGAACAGTGTAGAAGTCAATGTTACTAGGGCAGTGTGTGGTGGTTGTGGGACAGGGCAAGGTGGGGAGAGTAGGCAAGGTCAAGGGAGAAGCCAGAAGTCACTGGGGAGAAGGCCAAGGAATGGATCTGAAGCTTTTCACTACGTTACACAGGAAGGCATTGGAGAGTTTTATCCAGGAGTTAGCATGATTTGATTTAAAACTTTCGTTCATGTGTGTGTGATGAACAGCTTACAGAGGAGGCTAGGATGGTAGCAGGGAGGCCATTTGGGAAAATACTGCAATAGCCTTGGCAAGCCATGATGGTGGTTTGGTCCAGGGTGTTGTTGTTGTAGGTGGTAATGAGGGGTCTGTTTGGGATGTTTTGAGGTAGAGCTTATAGGATTTGCTGATATATTGGATGGGACATAAGATAATGAGAGGGGTCCAAGGTGACAACAAATTTGGTAGTTGAAGAAGTAGCAGAACCATTTATTAAAATGGGGAAGAGTGTGGAAGAAGGTATTTTTGGGATTGTGTAAATCCATATGTTTTTAGCATGTTGACTTTGCAATTGTTTATTAGATATCCAAGTGGAGATATTGAGAAGGTAGTTGGATCCAGGAGACTGAAGTTAAGTTCAGAGATTGGACCAAGCTAGGAATACAAATTTGGGAATCATTAGAGAATGGATTACATATAAGGACTGGATAAGGTCATGTAGGGAATCAGTATAGTTGAAAAACTATGTGACCTGGGTCTGGAGGCATCGTAGAATCAAAGAAGGGAAGAAAAAGAACAGCAGAGATTGGGTAGGAGCCAACGGTGAGGTGGAAAGATAGTCAAGATTGTGGTGCATTCAATAGCAAAGACATGGAATCAGCCTAAATGCCCATCAATCACAGACTGGATCAAGAAAATGTGGTGCAGATACACCATGGAATATTATTCAGCCATAAAAAGGAATGAGATCAGGTCTTTTTCAGGTACAAGAATAGAGTCGGAAGCCATTATCCTCAGTAAAGAAATGCAGAAACAGGAAACCAAACACTTCATGTTCTCATATATAAATGGGAGCTGAATGATGAGAACACATAGATACATGCGGGGGAACAACACATACTAAGGCCTGTAAGAGATGGGGGATCAGGGAGAGGGAACATCAGGCAGAAGAGCCAATGAATGCTGGGTTTAATACCTAGGGGATAGGATAATCTGTGCAGCAAACCACCATGGCACACATTTACCTATGTAACAAACTTACACATTCTGCACATGTACTCCTGAACTTAAAATAAAAATTGAAGAAAAAAAAAGAAAAAAGGTTGTGGTGTATTGCAGGCTGAGAGAAGAGGTATTTCAAAAGGAGGGCTTGAGTAATAGGAGGTCATGCCTTGATGGTCTTCTATGTTCTTGAAATTCAGTCTTTTGGCATTGGGAATATAGCAAATTGTTTTAAGCATGAAAGTGTGTTCAGAAGTATTTTGGTGTCCAGAGCACATAGACATGGACTGTGTATTAGTGATGTCTTAAA